AGAGATGAGATTGAGCTTGTTAATAATTTCAGCTTGCTTGTTTCCACAATCAACACTCTTGGCACCAGCAGTCAGGAATTCAAAAGATGAATTGCTTTGGTAAAGTCTGCTTTCAGGGACGTTTCTAGAGTACTGAAGAACGATGTCAATCTGGAGACTAAGGTGTGCCTGATGCAGACTATGGCCTTCACAATTACTTGCTATACATCTGGGAGCTGGATAATAACTAAGGATGATAGTAGAAGGATTAATACCTTTGAGTCGAGTCATGGTGCTAGAGAAGAGAAGTGAACACCCTGTGGGCTTCCAGAAGAGCAAACAGGTCTCTCCTGAGGAGGGTAAAATCAGGATAATCTTTGGATGCAAGGATTTTGAAGCTCCATCTGTCATACTTTGGGCATGTGACCAGGAGGAATAATTCCTTGGAGAGGAACATCATGCTTGGGAGGGTGGAAGACTCAGGATGAGATGGACTGACTCAGTGATTGGAGAAATGGGATTTTGTTTACTGGAAATAATGAAATTGGCTTAGGATAGAGCTACTGTACACAGGGTCGCTATGAGTTGCAGGTAACTCAATGGCACATAACCACAAAGACAAGAATTGTAGTAGACCAGGTATAAGAAGTGTCAAGGTAATAATGTCCCAAATGCTTGAATTGTTCATGATTATCAGTTCATGATTCCCAGCACCAACAGACCCACCTTTGTTCAGTTCCCTCGCTCCTCTGTATCCCATGGGTTCAGTAGTTCACTAGAAGGTCTGCCATCGACTCACACTCATCAGAGGAATGATTCACATTCCACACGGATGCAGGATGGTTTTGCAGAAAATAGTGAGCAATGGGCCAGGATCCTGTAGACTGTTAGTTGTGGCACAGCTACACAGTGATTGTGCATGATGCAGGCTGATGGTGTCGAGACTGGTGAGCAATGGGTCAGGCTGGATGTAGCTGGATGCTGTGTCCCTGGCAAGTGAGCATAAAGGAAACAACTACCACTGAGGATCCATGGACTTATACAAGCCTTTAGTAGAGTGGGGCCAATCCTCTCCCATTAACACAGTAATAATTTCAGCACAAAATGAACAGTTAATGACAGGCTAGGAGAAGCATCTGGGTGATAAATCTTAGACACTCATTCAGTGAAAGAAAGGAAGACCTTCATCCTGAGGGAAAGA